TAGATAGATAGATAGATAGATAGATAGATAGATAGATAGATAGATAGCAAGCATATGTACATGCATACATTCATGGAGCAGTAAAGTGGTAGAGATTTTTTTGTTTTTGTTTTTTTGTTTGTTTGTTGAGACAGGGTCTAGCATAACCTGGACTGGCTTCAAGTTCACTCTTCAGCCAAAGATAACCTTAAACTTGCAACCGTCCTCCCTCTACTTGCCAAGTGCTGGGATTACAGGGACAAGCCATCATGCCCAGTTTATTCAGTGCTGGGGACCAAACCCAGAGCCTCCTGCATGCTAGGCAAGCACTCTACCACCTAAGCCACATTCCTAGAGCAATGGCCATATTCTTGAGGGCATTTTTTTTATGTTAAGCATTTAATCTCAATGGCAACCTGTGAGGGGAAGTCTATCATGAATTCTATTTGATAAAACAGGAACCTAAGGAGGAGAGAGATGTGTAAGCAATGGATCTAGGGGGTAAGTAGCTCCTTGTATGTTTATTTGGTAAAAGGGCAAATCAGTAAGTCACAGTTTCTTTATTTGTGGTGGGGGTGTTTTGTTTCTTTTTTTTTTTTTTTTAAAAAAGCCCTTTCAACTTTCTCAAGCAACTTTAAGATGTGTTTGAGATTCCTAATTAAAACCCTGGGCACAAACTGCTTAAAGGAGCAACTCAAATGGTGCACAAAACAGTCAAAGGGGGATCTTTAATTAGTTTATTAGACTGTAAAATGTATAACAGTGAAGCCTGTTATCTCAGGGAAGAGATAAAAGGCAAACAGAGGCAAAGATAACAGATTTAGTCACCCGATCTGCTCTCTGGAAATCACAGCTGTTTTCCGTATCTGCCAGCCAACTGGAACTCATCAAATGGCTTTGTTGAAAGCCCACAGGTCCTGGCAGTTTAGAGAGGCATCACCCAGATGTCATGGGAAACCGGCCTGCTAAGGAGGTGCAGGGGTATCCAGTCTTCTGACTTTTCTAGAATAAGGGGCATGCTCAAAAACTGTGAAATCAAGTCTACACACACACACATGCATGGACACGCACATACACACTCACACGGGGGGGGGGGATGTGCTTGACTTGCAATCCTAAGGAACTGAGGTCAATCCCCAGGTCCCATATAAAGGAGCCAGATGTGGTGGCCATGCTTGTAATCCCAGATCTGGGGCGATAAAGACAAACAGACCCCTGGTGCTCACTGACCAGCCAGCCAGGCCTACCTAGCAAGTTTCAGGCAAGTGAGAAACTCTGCCTGAAAGACAAAGGTAGATGGTGCCTATGGACTGACACCCACAGTTAACTTCTGGCCTCTGCACCCACATACACACATGTGTACATATACACTCACACACAAATTGAAAAAAAAATGTCATAATGTTTTGGCTAGGCTTACAATGTTGTGTTGGGCCACATTCTTAACCATCCTGGGGTACATGTGGCCTGCAGGCTGTAGGATGGATACCCATGCTAGAGCACAGCTTCATTCATTCTGCATTCAACTGGGGAGACCACCCTGTCACCGCTCAGCACTAGAGTGGAGGAAGGGCACCAGTGAATCTCTATGGACTGAATGGCTACTACTGTTGAGTACTTATGGGTAGCATCAATATAGGAATGGTCATTGCTATGGTTTGAATGCTTGTCCCCTCCCAGACTTGCATTAAAGTTTAGTCACTACTGCAGGCAGATGAAGAGGAAGAACTTTTAAGAGATGATTGCACCAGGAAGTTCTCTGAAACTCATGAATACATTAACGTTATTATTGCTAGAGTTAACACCTTATGAAAGAACAAATTGGAGCAGGTGAAATGGGGTTCAAAACACTTGCCACCAAGCCTGACCAACTGAGTTTAGCCCCCAGGCCCTACTAGGTAGGAGGAGAGAATTGACTTCCCAAGGTTGTTCTCTCTCTCTCTCTCTCTCTCTCTCTCTCTCTCACACACACACACACACACACACAGACACACACACACACAAACACACACAAACTTATTAAATAAATGCTGTGAGAAACGTGTGTTATATTTCTATTACGCTCCTCTGTCCTCCCTTTCTCTCCCCATCAGCCCTTCTGCCACATGGTGCTAAAGCAAGAAGGCATTTACCAGATGCTAACCCATCCCCTGAACTTCCCAGCACCCAGAATTATGAGCTAACAAATTTTTGTTCATCACAACTTACTTAGTGTGGAGCTGGGGATATTCCTCAACTGGAAGAGCACTTGCCTGGTATGCACAGGGTTCCATCCCCACAGCTGCATAAAGCCAGGCATGGTGATGCATGCATAAACCCAATAGAGTAATGGGCACCTGTATTCTCAGCACTTAGGTGATGAAGGAGGTAGAAGGATCAGAAGTTCAAGGTCGTGCTCAGCTATATATTGAGTTGGAGGCAAACCTGGGCTACATGAGAACTTGTTTTAAAATATAGATACATAGATAAATGATAGATAGATAGATAGATAGATAGATAGATAGATAGATAGATAAGATGTAAGATAGGTATATACTAATTTGGAGAAAAAATGAATTACCCAGCCTGTGGTATTCCGCTATAACAACACAAAACAGACAAAGATGGTCATCTAGACAATCAACAAGCTTTAACAACACAAAACAGACAAAGATGGTCATCTAGACAATCAACAAGCTTTGGGCAGGATCCATTGTGTTCTGATTCAATACTTGGATTTGCCAGCAGAGTAAAACGGCCCCCTTGGGCTACAGCTCAAGGGACCTCATTTCTTTAGAGAAACCAAGAAGCTAGACTGCAAGTTGAAGCAAGTCAGTTTCAGGTGGAAAGCCAGCTGCATTAACAAATGTTCTCAGCGGCTCTTACGCCGTCGACACGCTGCTGCAAGCCTTTCTGCTTGTCATCAAGGTGACAGGGTTAACTGTGTCTGGTTGCTAAGGGCCCTGCCAGCCCTCTGCCCTTCCTGCCGTATTCATCACCCACTCCGCTCTGACTACCCGGCCTCATCCATAACCCTTCTCTACACGGCTGCCCCTTGGGCTGCCACTCAACTGAGCAAAGCCACCTTAGAAATTTCATTTTTACTAGGCTTTGTCTTGGTGTCATAGACTTCTGACCCCCACAGAGACACCCTGTGAGCGGTTGCTACCCAGCAGCTTGGATGAGGTGGAGGGGGAAACGGGCTGAGCATTTACTGAAACTGGGCAGGCTGAAGTGGAAATCCCCAAAGAGAAAGATGCAAAGTCTACTGCTTCTAGCAGGGATGGAGAGATCTGTGGAACCAAAGTGGGTGCGGGTACCAGAGCGCGGTGCAAAATTAGTTCTATGGTAAGAGGAAAATGTGAAGACTCCATCTCTTTAGGTGAGAAATTAACATTTTCAAACCTATAAACTAGTGAGACTAACTTAATAATGCCCCGATGAGATGTTATACCTACATTTTCTTCAAGTCTTTAAAAAAGAGAAAAGAAAAGAAGAAACATGATAACCAGGTATGATCACTCCTGTAATGCAGCAGTCAGGAGGCTGAGGCAGAGGGACGGAGAGTTCAGGCTAGCCTGGGCTACATAATAACACCCTCTGGAAAGAAGTAAGAGAGAGGGAGAAAAGGAGGGGAGATGAGAGGAGGGGAGAGGAGGGGAGGAGGGAAGCGGGAGGAAGGGGAGGAGAGGGGTAGACTAAAAAGAGGTCTGGGGCTGTAGCTCAGTTATTGGAGTGCTTGCCCAGTGTACACAGAGCCCTGGCTTCACCGCCCACCCCCCAGCACCTCATAAAACTGCCTGTAATCTCAGCACTCAGAAGGTGGAGCCAGGGGGACAGAAGTTCAAGATGATCCTTGGATGTATGTCAAGTTCAAGCTCAGCCTGAGCTACACAAGTCTTGTCTCAAAATAGAAAAAGGAACAGTGGGAGGGGGAGATAAGAGGAAACCTTCTTTTTGATATTTTGGTCTCATGTCTTCCCGTGAAATGCCAATGGTTTTCAAAAATAAGAGCCTATTGCTGCTCAGTCATTGTGCTGAAGGTATGATGTGTGCATAACTTCTTGGTGGGTTTCGCTTCATGTTAAACACAATAAAGCTGCTAAATAGCTATTGGCCTCATTAAAGATGTAAAATAAAGCAAACTCTCTTTCCTGTAGACTCCGCCGTGTGGCCGACTGAAGTCTACTCCTGGGTCCCTTCACGTGGAAGGATGCTTCTTCTACAGCTGCTCTGGGCCCCATTTCTGAATTTCACCTCTTTCAACAGATGTTGTTGACTCATGGCCTGTGTCACTTTTGAGGTTAGCCGACACCTCCCCCTTAGAGTGTCTCTCACTTTAAGTCATGTAAGTCAAAAGGAATCTCCCTGCATGCTATTCATGCGTATTAGCTGTCTCATCTCTACAGGGCCCTAATTTGGATAGATTTAATCATCATTTCCATTTGTGTGTGTGTGTATGTGTGTGTGTGTGTGTGTGTGTGTGTGTGTGTGAGAGAGAGAGAGAGAGAGAGAGAGAGAGAGAGAGAGAGAAGCAGTAGTAGTAGGCTAGTGATGCACTTACCTATGCGTGCACACGTGGAGACCAGAGGTGGGCTTTAGGTGTCTTCCTCAATTACTCCCCACTTTATGTTTTTGATACTGTGGTCTCTCTCTGGACCTGGTGGTGACTGTTTCGGCCATGCTGACTGACCAGTGAGCTGTTGATGGTCCTCCAGTCTCTGACTCCCCAGCGCTAAGGTGATAGGTATATGCACACACCTGGCTTTCACATGAGTGTTGAATATCCAACAGGTCTGCATGTTTGCACAACCAGCACGTTACCCACTAAGCCATCATCCCCATTTTACAGATAAGAAAATTTATCTGTAAGCTTCCTGGTCTCTCTCTCTCTCTCTCTCTCTCTCTCTCTCTCTCTCTCTCTGTGTGTGTGTGTGTGTGTGTGTGTCATAGGACTGCTTGAAGTGTTCGTGTGCATCTATACACTGTAGCCTTGCCACACTTGACACCATTGTACTATATAACTACCAAATCTAGGGCTTGAAACTATCCCCTTGTGTCAACATTTGGCTGTATTGTAACTGCTCCTATGCTCTTGACTTTCTCCAAATAAAGTTCTTGTATTTTCATAGAGAATTCACCAGAAGACAAAAGTTCCCCGGGGTCCAGATTGCCCATTAGCTATGCAGGAATAAGCTAGGCAGCCTTCCATCTTCGTGAGCCAAAGGAGAGCCGCACCTTCACTGACCGCACATTGAGGCCCTCAGCAAAGGCAAGCCGCGAGCCAGATGGACACAAGGGATCCATCCTCCGCCTCTCTGTTCTTCCCCTTTCTTTCTATACTCTGGCCACTCTTCCCTTCCAACTGGTCAGGTCAAACAACAGTCATCCTTCGTGGCCCGGCTTAATTCACCTCCAGAACGGAAGCCCATTCTGATACCCTGCTGTGCTTCCTTCAACAGTGTGTAATTGCCTGGTGCGTTCTCCCTCTTTGCTTCTTTGACTTCCAAAGGGCAAAGGTAATAACTTACATTTTTGTGTACCTAGTAACCACTATGAGACTCACTGAAGGGGCTAGAGAGCTGGCCCAGCGATTAAGAGCATTAACTGCTCTGAGAGGACATGGGTTCGATTCACAGCGTCCTCCTGGTGGCTCTCAGCCATAGATAGTTACAAGTTCAAGGGACCCAATGCCCTCTTCTGGCCTCTACAGTCTCTAGGCACATATACACTGTACAGACATACACACAGGCAAACATTAATACACTTTTTTCAAAAGACTCACTGTGGGGTGAGCCAGCAAGATGTCTCAGCTGCACAAGTCTGACAACCTTAGTTCAAAGCCTAAATCCTAGGGTGAAAGGATAAAACTGGCTCCCAAAGTTGTTCTCTGACCTCCAGATACTTATTGTGACTTACAAACATCATACATATACTAACCATATATATAACATTCACACACACACACACACACACACACACACCTCACTGGAGGAGTTGGGGAGACGGCTCCATCAGTAAAACTCTTACTCAGTAAAAAGTCAGATATGTCGGCACATTCCTGTAATCCCGGTAATAACACGGTAAGAGGAGAAGACGGGCAGATCCCTAGAGCTTGCCGGTCAGCTAGCCTAGCCTCGGTGAAGTTCCAGATCAATGAGCCATCTTGTTCCAACCAAAATGGGTGCCTGAAGAATGACTCTCAAGGCTGTCCTTTGGCCTCCACATACACACGAACATGTATGTACAGAGAGAGTGTGTAAGTCCCTGGGATACAGAACGGGGAATAGGCACACTACCATGTCCAACCTTTTTCCATATCGTTTGGGGAACTCAGGTTCCTGGGGTTGCACAGCAGTTCCTTCGCCAACTGAACCATCCCCCAGCCTATGCCTGCTTCTTAACCTGGAAAGGCAAGGGGGTCGTGATAGCCCCTACCCTATGACGTCGTTGTGACTTTAAACCTGTGGATTTACATCAGGCTCGTGGTGTTGTATGCTGTACAGTCTTAGCCACTTCGGTCACTGTCACGCCCCCTTCTAACATTTTCCTTTTTCACTCACATGAAGCTTTTGCACTGACACCTGATCTTTTGTCTCGCATCCTTTGGGTCCGAAAGCCTGCCTTAATATATAATGGTGACTTTTTTTTTTCAAAAGCACTGATCAGAAATGCCTCTCAGCCTAGTAACATGAACAAAAAGGACTGTAGCAAACATACTCAAATGCCAGTGCTCCCCCATAGCGTGTTTGAGAACCAGTTACTTTCCCTGTGAAACGGGGCTGGTATCATGTTCCTCGAATCGTTGTTGACAGCAGAAGCGATGGTGGGAAGAACAAGCATCTGAAGCATGGTAGGCCCTTGATTAGCACAGAAAGGTCCACCATCGCCACCACCACCAGGAGCTAGTTTCTTCTGTGTTCTGTAATGTACTTAATGCAAGGATAGATTTCTTTTTCTTTTGAGTCAGGGCCTATGTAGCACAGGCTGACCCAAACTCACTACCTAAGTAACCAAGGAAGACCTTGAACTCTGGACCTCTTATCTCTGTTGCCTCAGTACCAGATGACAGGCATGTGGCACCAGGCTCAGTTTCAAAACTTATTTTTTAATAGTAGTTTAAAGAGTTCTTGACTCCTCAGCTACAAACCAGCGTGAACTTCATAAGTTTAATTACACAATTCCAATACTTTCTACCAATTGACAATGGTAGGTGAGAAAAATCTAATAGCAATTTTATATTGTGTCTAACTTTTAAACAAATTCCTGTTTCACTATAAATACTGAAACATTAATTTAAAATTTCTGGGATTGGGGTGTCATTCAGTTGATAAAGTACGTGTCCAACATGAATGGGGTTTGATCCCCAGCACTGCGTAAACCAGGCGTGTCCATCATGGCTTTGATCCCATCACTCAAGAGCTGAAGGCAGTATGATCAGGAGTTCAAGGTCATCCTCAGCTACACGCCAAGTTAAAGATCAGTCTGGGATACAAGACACACTATCTCTAAAATAAAAAAAAAATGCCATATTCCAGCTGTATGCTATACCTGCCATTGCTTCTGATTTCTACAAGGATATGAAGTTTTTTATAATAAATGATAAAACTTTTCAAAGTGAGGGATTTGCCTTCAGTGGTACCTAAGTGTGATTTCATATCACATGCAATAGCATGCTTCATTATTTTAATATAATTTGGCATCAGTGAAAGACACTGATAGCTGTTGTTCAAGATGCACCTTGGCTTAAAATACACGTTATGGTGGAGGAGCAATACCCAAACTTCCTTTGAAGTTACAAAGGATTTACTACCTTAATGTCATTTTCAGATGAGGTGTGTGTGTGTGTATGTGTACATATGTAATCAAAAAGCTTTTGCCTTGCAGAATTAGGAACATAAGATCATTTGCGGGTAGTTGTCCTGTTTTACAGATGAGGGCAAAAAGCCTGAGATGTGAGAACACCCTTTGAGGGTCAGGCCTTGGCCACCTTCTGCTGCTAGTGGTCTGTCTGGCTTAAATTTCTACATCTGTGTTAAGATCAAGAGGAACTGCTGTTTCTCCTCTTACTTAGACATGGAAAAATGTGAGAACTGAGGTCTAGGTCACCAAAGGGAGGGGATTTACATCCACCTGTGTATGTTACAAGAAAAAGAAAGCAATACAAGCGGGGCAGTGGTGGTGCACTCCTTTAATCCCAGCACTCGGGAGGCAGAGGCAGGCGGATCTCTGTGAGTTCGAGGCCAGCCTGGTCTACAAGAGTGAGTTCCAGGACAGGCTCCAAAGCTATAGAGAAACCCTGTCTCAAAAAAAAAATGAAAAAGAAAAAGAACAAAGAAAAGAAAACAATACAAGAGCCAGGTGAGAAATACCGATTTGATGCAATTTTGTTTGATCAGCGTCATTGACTATCTTACCATCATCATCATTATTATTTTAATATTTACCTAAAAGCCATGAGTCAAAACTATGCTTGGTGGGGAGGCTAGGCTGTGGTTCAGTTGAGAGAGCACTTGTACAAACTGGTTGTGTTGGAGCAGGCCTGCAACTCCAGCAATGAAGAGATGGACACAGGAAGATCAAATCAAAATCCTTCTTGACTACACAATGAGCTTGAAGTCAACCTGGACTACAAGAGACAATGTTCAAAAAAAAATTGAGGTGAGATACTGAACTTTGAGTCTTCGAGGCACACTGAGTAAGAGGGGAAGCAACTGGTAGGAAGATTTCCAAGAACAGTGAGCTGTGTTAGTCAAGCAGGGATCTGTGGTCATAGTGCTTATGGGAAGCCCCATTATTTACAGCAATTCAAAGAGAGTGAGGCCAGCAGACACTGGGGCCCAATAGCATCATCAGGAAGCCCGTCATCTAATTTGATGGTGATAAACTCTGCTCACCAGAATAAAACAGTGGCCTGCACAGTCTTCCAGCTCTGCTCTGGACTTTGTAAAGAGATGTCACATTCCCCGAATATGAGAGGTCATTTTCAGGAGCGTGGACAACACACAGTGTCTACACCACTGAAGAAAATGTCTGTCCCTGTCCCAAGCATCCCTTAACTGCCTGAGAAAGGGGCAGCATCTCAGGCTCGCAGAGTTCTGATGACACTCCTGCTCATGTAGTACCTTCTCAGCTTTGTAGATCAGAGAGGAAATGGAGACCATCCCACCCCAGTGACCACTGCTCTCAGCAGACTGTACTCATGATTATCTTCTGAGCGCCTAACTGGGGGGTCTTGTCTATGGCCATAGCATCCTGAATGTGTTCGAACCTCATCAGAATATGAGTTCTTCTGAAATTGTAATTTCCTGAGATTTTCTCCTATTAATCAACTTTATTGTTATTTCACCAGTCATTAACACCTTTGCTAGAGAATACAGGAAACAAGGCCCCTAAGGCTACTATAAGGAAAATGTTGCATCTGCTCAATAGTATTAGAAAAAGTCTTTAGGGCTAGCGAAATGACTCAAGCATGCTGCCAAGCCTGACAACCCGAGTTCCATTCCCAGAACCCACATGATGGAAAGAGAGAGCTGACTCACCCAAGCTGACTTCTCCCCTCCACACGTGCACTGAGACATACTCATGCCCAAAACATACACACAAATAAATAACGTGATATTTTTTAAAGGATCTTTTAAAAGTGGCTTTAGGGACCATCATTCTGTTAAGATGCTACCATTGTCCAAATGTTTTGCAGGTGTGTGCCACCATTCAACACTCCGGCAAACACTGTCATCTCTAAGTTTACACTCAAGAACAGCTCAGTCGTGTCACAAAATAAGAAATAAAAATCTTGTGATGTTTAAGCAAGTTTATGATTTTGTATTAAGCTTCATTCATAGCTATATTGGGACACAGGAGACTTAAAATGTGACTTTGGCCATAAGAAAGAGAGAATATAGAGTTAGGAATATAGCTCAATGGCAGATTGCTTGCCTACAGGCAAGGTACTGGACTCTATCACACTGAACTGGACAAGACAGAGAAGGAAGAGGAAGAGGAGAATGGGAAGCCGTGGTAGCACATGCCTTTAAGCCCAGAACTTAGGAGTCAGAGACAGGCAGATCTCCGTGAGTTCAAGACCAGCCTGGTCTGAGTTCCAGGACAGCCAGAGTTGTTACACAGAGAAACTCCATCTTGAAAAATCAAAGAAAGAGAGGGGAGGGGCAGAAGGGAGAAAAGGGAAGGGGAAAGAAGAAAAGGAAAAGAAAGAAGAAAGAGGAGACGAGGGAAGAAAGAGAATGGAAAAGGGAATGAGGAAAAAGGAAAGAGAGAAGGGAGAAAAGAAAAACCAGTAGCTAACCCCTTCACATAGTAAGAGACATGGGTGAGCGGCATGGGATAGCCTTGCTGTGTGGTGGAGAGGCCAGGCTCTCACAGACTCCAGGTGCTGTCATCCTCAGAATGCCAACTTTTCCTTCTCACACCTGCTCACTATGGCATCGAGACGGCCACCCCAGTTCCAGCCAACTCTCTCACAAGTGGTTTCAAGGCAGAGGGCAGATGGCAGGAAACAGGCTTTCTTCCATGTCTTCACATTATTTATAAAAACAGCCCTTCTGAGAAAGCCTTGCTTGTGACCCTTAGGTCACAGAAGTCAGGTCTCATCTCAAGGGAGATTAAGTCATAGGTGTCTTTACAGCAGCCAGGCTATTCCGAAAAGGAGGCGGGAAAGACTTTGAAATGACTCAAGGGAGAGCCGAGCAGTAATATCTGACACCAGAAGAGACTGCTTTGTTTGACACACACACACGTACACACGTACAGAGAGAGAGGGAGAGAGGTGAGAGAGAGAGAGAGAGAGAGAGAGAGAGAGAGAGAGAGAGGAATTGAGGCTAACAGAAGTTCAGAATTGTACATTTAGCATTTGTTTCTAGACTCATAGCTGTTGGTGACATGGCTAAGGCTGAAAGCTGGGTCAGCCTGATCCTGCCCTTTTGCATGCATATTAGAGCACACTGAGTTGCTAGGAAGCCGAATAGGGGCAGGTAACAATGGGGCTTTCTGCCTTAGACAGATGAAATAATATGAAGGGTGGATGTTGGTTTCTCTTGAATAATATAGACATTACCACTTCTCTTTCTTGCTTTCTTTCTTGTTTTTGGTGTGTGTGTGTGTGTGTGTGTGTGTGTGTGTGTGTGTGTGTGTCCAGGGAGTGGAGAGAGCCCTGAGTTACTGAAGTCCTGAGCGAATGTTTGTTGACAGGAGTCGACCACGTTAAAGACACCAGAACCTCAGACCCAAGGAGAAATGGCAGAACCTTTCGCCGGGACAAAGTTTAGAAACATGGCAAATCCTTCCTCAGAGGCCCCAATGTTACTGTTGACGGTGTTTGGAGAAAATGTCCACCATAGCTCTCCTGCGTGTTTAAGGCCTGAACACTACACCCCTACAGAGGTTACTCTGCTCAATGAAGATTTGCTAAACCTGTCTCCTCGATCCAGCTGTCTCCTTGTTAATAATTTGCAGATCGTAACCCCACCTCTTTGGCAAGCTGTGTGCAATAACCTGCCTTTCTGTTCAAATCTATATAATAAACAGCCTGCGCTCATGGGGAGTTATGACTTCTCCAGCAGAGTCCAGATGGCCTAATTTCAGCTTTTGTCTGGAATATGTTGGTATTTTCTGTACTCCCTTGCCACCCCAACCAGGTCCATCCCTGAAATCATGCTGGGTGTTGCCACGTGTGTTTGAGTTTGTATTTGCGGCAGGGTGAAACTGTTCATGGGAGTTGAGGGGGCTCGGTGTGGATATGGTCAGTAGAGCACCTAGTGCCATTTCTCGGGTGTTTTACCCCTTTTATTTGAGACAGGGTTTCTCTTTGGCCTGAACGGCAACAAGGAAGCTAGTCTAACTGACCCAAATACTTTCAGAAAGCTCTCCACCTGCCTCCACACAGTTCATAGTGTTGGAATTGTTGGAAGTGTTAGAAGGCACCCTACTGCCTGGCTTTTTATGTGGGTTCTGGGAAGCTGAACTCAAGTCCTTTTACATACAAGGCAAGCGCTTCACTGAGCCATCTCTTTAGCCAACACAACCACCTTTCTACTGGTGGTTAATTACTTTAACTATTGGCTAGGATTTGAATATACCATACAAACAGTTGTCTAGGTCATAGTTTCAATGTTGGGATACATATCAAGACTGGTTCAGCATATGATTCCCTACCTTTGTCCCACATATTGGGAGCAGGGGATCTGGAAAGAGTTGACATGCTTCAGAAAATTAAAATGTGTAGGCTATTTAAATTTTATAAAGTGTAAACTCCACTGTCAAGATCAGCAAAAAAATTCATTAATCATTAGTCTTGGGTTGTGTGTCACTGAGACCTTAACACGTGTTGTTGAATTGATTTAGTTGTAGTTCCTTCTTTATGATATCAGAGATGGTTTTTTTCTTTGGCTCTAAGAGCTGAAGAGATAGATGGCTCAGGGGTTAAAAACTAATCCTTCTCTTGCAGAGGTCCTATCTTCAATTCCCAGCACCCACATCAATGGTTCACAACCTTCGATTCCAGCTACAAGGATCGCATACCCTGTTCTGGCCTCTGCAGGAAACTGCACACATGAGCACAAGCGTGCATGTGTGCTCATGGAGAATTAAAGAAATGCATCTCTTTTAAACTAAAAAGCTTCTACATCTAGAGTGTTTTATATTTTTATTTTTCTGTTCTTGGGAGGAGAGAGTCTTGATTCTTTGTGGATAGTTATTAAAGACCCATCTTTTGAAAGAACAGAGAAAACAATGCCCTAAATGGTATTAAGAAAGCAACCGCTCTGGGCTGGAATCCAGGGCTAAATTATTTGATTCTCTTATGAAATAAAGAGATGAGGTGTTGATATCTCCTCAACAGATCCATCCCAGACCATGTACAGTGGGAGTCATATATCTTCGCATCTTCTATGAAGAAATGCCTTTTATAAAGAACAGTTAAGTGCTCGCTTCAGCAGCACATATACTAGGAATTAGAACAATACAGAGAAGATTAGCATGGCCCCAGTACAAGGATGACAAGCAAATTCATGGAGCATCCCACATTCTTCACAGAAAAACTGGAAGAGTCTACAACATCGCTCAGCCTGCTGTGGGCATCATTGTAAACAAGGAAGGGTAGTCAGACTCTATTTGGACCACCAGTGCCCAAATAATGACATGGAAACATTTTATTAATTATGAAAAGCTGGCCTTAGCATAGGCTTGTTCCCAACTAGCTCTTACAGCTTAAAGTAACCTGGCTCTATTAATCTATGTTCTGTTATATGGCTCTCCTTCATTCTGTATATCTAACTCCCTCTGTGTCTGCACACTTCAGATTCTTCCCAAGTTCCTCTCCCTGGAAATCCTTCCTATCCTCTCCTGCCTAGCTATTGGCCATTCAGCTCTTTATCAAACCAATCAGAAGGCATGGCACCTTAGGCAGAGACACATCTTCACAGCGTACAAAAAGATTATCCCACAACCAGAAAGTTAAGGGCAAGATTCCAACCAAGAGAATTAACGTACATATTGTGAACACACTGAACACTCTAAAAGTCAAGACATCTCCTTGAAATGGGTGGAAGAAAATGATCCTAAAAAGGTGGCCAAAGAGAAAGGCACCTGGGTTCAAGTTCCAGCCTGCTCTACCCAGAGAACTACATTTTGTCAGAACTAAACAGGAGGAAGCCGAGACACTGGAGTCTATTCCTATGAATTCATGGCTTAATGTGTGAAAAGAAATAAAAGACCCAGACAGCAAAGCATTCTTCTAAAAAGAAAAATAGAAAAATAAGCAATTGAGGACTGGGGATGCAGCTCAGTGGTAGAGTTCTTGCCTAGTTTGCTCAAGGCCCTGAGTTCAATCCCTGCTACTCGAATAAATAAGTAAAAGTACAAGTAAATAAACAAAAGCAAAAAGAGCAATTGATAACTTTGAAATCACATGACACTTCTGATAGATTGTGGTCTTTCATGAGTTTACTAGGAACCCTGTCACTGTTTCCAAACACAGAAACAGTGCTTTCATGGTTTCAAACAAGCGTCTAATTTTAGAATAAAGGCACTTCATAAATAGTCTTCATCTGTGACCCCTGTAGAGTAGTTCTTGGAAAGTCTTACGTCATCCTGTGCTCACAGGTACCTCGTGGCTGTGACAAGTCTTTGGTAGTTGGTGGGGAGTTGCCCAAGCTTTCTCCCCGAAGTCCTACCCTCCTGCCTTCCAGTGTCAGAATGGCTCCGCTGCAGCAGTTGAGACACTAAGTCCCTTCTTTAGACAGACTTGGGTCTCATCCCCATCTGCCACAGAGATCGTAGAGGAAAACCTATGAGAATGATGCGGACAAACTGACACCCCTCAGATCCCCTGCGATGAAGGGACTTGCTTTCCAGATGTGAGAACTGGAGCCAACAGATGGTTGCCAGCTGTCAGCGTTTTCACGGTCACCCTTGAGTAGAAAGAGCCGCTTTGCCAAGGTTGTGCCTTCTCAGCACAGTCTGCCTTTATTGACTGTTCAGAGCAGTAGGCTGTAAGCTGGTACAACTCGGTTTGGCATGGGAAACACAGGTATTCATATAGGCGATACTCTCCAGAGATTCCCATAGGGCTAGCCAAGGTTTTTGTTGGGCCTACGTGGCAATTCAACTTTTTCTCCTACCCAGTCCAGTTACCTGCCTCTTTTTCTAGCTGGTCTTTGTTTGACTGTAAGAGACTTAGCCTTATAGAACAGTTTCTGATATACAGAAAACTTGAGAAGATTTCTCAGTTAGTATATTCCCTGCATTCGGTCTCCCCCAACACTTTACTTTACTCCCCCAACACTTTGCTTTAGGATGATTGTTCATTGTGGTGGTATGTTTGCTCGTGTGCTTGCTTGCTTGCTTGCTTGGTTACACACTTGTTTGCTTGCTTGTTTTGAGACAGGGTCTACAGCCCAGACTGGCCTCTAGTTCCCTATGTAACCAAGGACGGCCTTGAATTTCTGACACTTCTGCCTTCACCTCCCCAGAGCCGGGGTTAGAGGAGTGAATCACCATGTGTGCTTTATGCTGTGCAGGAAGATCAGAGTCAGAGCTCCGTGCTCACTAGCCAAGCCCTCCACCAACTCAGCAGCATCCCTAGTCTTACCGCTACAGATTATGAACAGTACCAGCGCACTGCTGTCAACTAGTCTAGTTTTGATTAGATTTCCTCAGCACTCAGCTGCTTTGTTTCCTGTTTAAAGATTGCATCATGGCCGGCACATTGTTTTTAGGTATCATGTTTCTTTAGGCAATGGTCCTCCCACAGGATTTGATCCTTTGTAGCATCTTGCATCTAAAGATCCATCTTAGAATCTACTTCTAGAAGCAGACATGGTGGTGTTTGCCTGATATCCTAGCATTTGAGAGATCAGGATGAAAAGAAAGGTGTTCAGGGTCACCTTTATCTTCATAAAAGTTGGGGTCCAGCCTGGGTTTCATAAAACCCTGTGTTTGAAGAAATTAATTTAATTTTAAAAGAGGGGCTAGAGAACTTGTTGATCTTTCAGGGGACCAGAGTTTGGTGCCCAGTACTCACATATGATGGCTCACAAACACCTTTAATTCCAACGCCCTCTACTGGCCTGCAAAGGCACCCACACACATGTAGCATACACACACACACACACACACACAGTCACACATATACCTTAGCAGAAATGAATCTTTAAAAACTTACAAAAAGGAAAATAATATCTGTTTCTAGATCTAACCTCTAGACTGTGGCTTACCGTGTGATTGTTGGCTGCCTGCACAGCCCCTCTGCTACCTTCTTGCTAACAGCATCCCAGTGTCACTAATCACAATGTGTCTATGGTAAGAAACTAATTCCCATCTTGCTTTTTATTGACTGGCATCTGATCCAGACCTAACCAAGACATAAGGGAATGCCTTCCAGGGGCTTTCCCTCCAAATAACTCTTTCCTCTTGGTTAATAAATAAATAAAAATCACGATAACAGGGCTCTGCACATCACTGGGTATTGATATGCAGTTAATAGTTGCTGAGAGAGGAAGAGATATTTCCTTCAGTGGTGTAGACACAAGTGCCTATGCTCCTGGAAACAAACCTTCATACAGGCTCCTTGTCTTACTTAGGATTTCTATTGCTGTGATGAGATGCCATGACCACAGCAACTCTTATAAAGGAAAACATTTAACTGAGACTGGCTTACAGTCCGGAGGTTTAGTCCATTGTCATCATGGCAGAAAGCATGGCAGCATGCAGGCAGACATGGTGCTGAAGAAAGATCTGAGAGTTTTATGTCTGAATCTGCAGGTAAGAGGGCAAGAAACAGGAAGAGAGAATGAGCCACTGGGCCTGGTTTGAGCTTCTGAAACCTTAAAACCCATCCCCTGTGACACACTTCCTTCAACAAGGCCACACCTCCAATAATGACATTCCCTGTGAGCCTATGGCAGGTATTTTCATTCAAACTACCATACTACTGGATAAGCAATCTTAATGAAACCCAATGTGTCACTCACTCACACACACACAAACACACACACACACACACACACACACACGACAGTATGAAAGTAGGAGACCTT